CATTAAGACCCTAAAGAATCATATCAACTTGTGGAAAATGGGCATCCTATGAGGCAAAACACCCCAGGTGAGCCTAGTAAAAAAGTTATATATTTATAAAATACATTTAGTTCTTACTAAGTACAGTTCAAATCTATTAACATATTTACTGACATATCGATTGAGACTTACTGAAATAAAAATTATAATTATACTTTATTTGGAGTACTACTTGTGTGCACAATGCACATTGTTTAACATTAAGCCTAAAATGTGTTTTAATGTCACTATTGATGAGGACTGTATTATCTTTGAATAATATCAGTCTTTAAATGCAGGATATTTAAAGTGTACCTGAAGTATACCTGCAATAGTTCCACTTCAGCACAATCAAATGTGCTTCAGTATATCTTTAGTTGGACTTCAGCACTACTTCTGCACAATTAAAGTGCATCCAACACAAAATTAGTTCCAATGTAGCAGACTTTAAGTATACCAGTATCATTGCAGGGTATTTTTTATTAAATACATAAATATGTAAATGTATTTCAAAAACATTTGAGTATATTTATTTTTCACTAGGGTAGAACTGTGCAGTTATGAGAAATTAAATACATTTAATTTTATACACTGATTAGGTTGGAACAACCCTGACCTTTTGTAGTTGATGTTAATGAAATAACAGTATTTTGGTGCAGATGCCGCTTGGCAGAAGATTCAACACGAGCAGATGTTAGACGAGCCTTGATTCTCAAAACCATGAACAAAACTACACGAGCTGAAAGAAAATACGACCCCAACGGCCTTAAAAACAGTTCAGGGCTGCTGCTGATATCCAGTGTGAACGCGTCTCCTGAAGCAGAAGCACATCAACACACTGGAACAGCCTCGAAACACTCAAACACAACCAGAGCCCTGCTGCACTTCACTCCAGCTACCACACGCGCTGATTCATGAACGAGAGCGTCTCAAGACAGTCAGAACATAAATAGTGTGTTTGCATTCAAACTGAAACCACTTCAAGCCTTTCAGCCGAGCATGTGCAGGTTTGAGCTCGTATTCACTAAACACATATAATATTAAACAGAGACCGCTGCACTTCACAGCCAATCAGCATCAGAGCTGAAGCTCATCTCGTCTCATCAGTGTGTGTGTGT